AGCTTTGTGTGTGTGTGTGTATATATATTATAAATGAATTTCAAAGAAATTAAACAAAATTACATTTTGTATTTATTTTATTAAAAATAATATCAACATCATTGGCCCACATTAGCAAATAATATTGAGTTGTATGCCATATCGTATGCCATATCAGCATGTTAACCTGTTAATGATTAAACCGGTTACTTGGGTATTTAAAAGTTCAAGATTTTATAACTTAGGTCCCACAACGGATAGTTGTAAAAAACTATAAAGAGGTTGGAAAGAGAGATATTCAAGCTGATAATGTAGTTGCCATTTACCGTTTAAGAGTGTTTGCAGAAACAAATAACCGAGAACTAGAACTGGATTGATCAGTATAAAGCATTTTCGCCTTAGGAGTTACCATGTCCTTTATGTTGGGTTTTTATGAGTATCTGAATAATATCATGTTTCAAATTCATATTCTTTATTTTGTTTAAGAATAATTGCGTACACAGCTAAATTAAGATTATCACATATGGTTTATTCATTAAAATGAAAATGAAGATGGACACACTTGATTTAGTTGTTAAAATCAACATTGAGATCACGAGTAGAATATCTAAAATTTCCATAATCTTTTTAGTCGGCTAACAGAAGCTTTTGCACTACCCGCATTTACTGGTACAGGAGACAGATGGTTTGGCCAAGTATGTTAAGGTATTGTCCATACCGAGTACATTTTTATGTATGGGACCCTTACCACGAGATGGAAAATGATCTTGGTTAATCGATCGGCCTACCCGTCTTTTAGTTATTAGTGGTAGATAAACAGTCATATATTCATTTGGATCCAACCATGATTCAGGAGGTCCAACCGAAACTACTACCTCCTGGTAGGTTGATAACTATTTGACTTGAAGTAAATACAGGCCAAATGGCCACAATTTGTACATCGTAGAACTCTTGCAATGACAATTACATGCTCGTAAGGTAAACTAAAGAGTTGCCATTTAACACAGTTACAATTACCACTATATTGAAATAGACCGTCCTGTCCCTACGACTGTCATAAACTTCATATCTACCGTGGCTAATTTCGTGTACGATCCAAGTTGTAGACTTGCCAGCTCCTTAATTTTGGCATGCGCCCATAGTGTGAGTTCATGCTACTATCTCTCTACAAAACACTTGTGCATTAGTATTTCAACAAATAATGCATAGACATAAATCTACATTTGAGTACATTAACCTCCATTAGCACGACGAATAGAATACCATTGTTGTAATAAAGCTCAGAAGTAATCTATAAATGCAACGATTGTGAATTTACGTTTAAAACTCGACAATACATTTACCCACTGGCACTGTAGGATGTCATAATATTTTAATGTATTCCTGGGAAATGCACCCTTGACCATCTCTCTGGGCCAATCATCCATCACTAGAGCTCCGTCAGGTACATTGTATCGCAGACCCAACATAAGCATGTCCAAGTCTGCCATCGTATACGTTTTGCATGTCTTCTAGAATAATTTTTTACAGAGCTTAACTCGTTTGTCCCTAGTGCTTACATTCATCTCCAGATGGCGACAACGAAGAGCATGATGAGCCATTAGGCCACAGTGGTAATTTCTTGGTTAATAAGCATCCATATCTGATATAAACACCAACCGTTCCAATTCTCCGATACATTGAGTCAACATCGCCAAAACCAAGTCTACACCTCCGTACTCTCCGACCTTCCCACTCCAAAAGCAATGAGCAGAATTTAGTTATTTACCTCCATGGAAACTACTAAGAACATGGTACCCAATAAACTCTCCTTCAAATTAGCACCGTCAATTATAATGACCCTAAACAAGTTTGCTAAAAAGGGCTGATTCTACAAAATTAGGTGATTTGCATGTAAAAATTAAAAATTATCGTAGTGCAAGAGAGACACATATTAAAATTATGTGTACCGCGCAACCAAAGGCAACAAAGCAAATCTCCAAACATTTCATTTCATCCGTCCTTATTTTGTTGAGGATACTAGGATTATGGAGCTCCAAATTATAGAAATATACACGGAGTCAGGTCAAAACATTCTCCAGGCTACCCCTCAACATGTTTAGTGCACGAAATTTCGCACTCCAAGCTTGCATGTATGTAATATCAATTTTGTATTGATCATTTATATCATGGACGATGTCATATCCCTGAAGTATTATGCTAGTATCCTTCAATAAAACGTTTCAGTATATGACCCAATGTTTTCTGTTACTTGACGGTGTCTGGGATGCATTTGGGTCTTTGAACAAGTGTGCACGTCAACTAACTTCCGAACATGAAACATCTTACATTTTCTACAGATGTCACCATGACATGACAACCGTAATTTTCTTGTACATATTGTGCCTCATTTTGAAGATCTATGGACTTTAAACTCGGAACCTTCTTCAAGAAACTTCAGTCTGATGGCTAGTTGCATGTCTTCTTTAGTTGTGAATATCTGATCCAAACTAATTCTTGCAGTATGCGGAAAAGATATTGGTTGGTTTGATGTGATAGTGGGCTCTGGTGTTAGAAGGACAGGAGGCAAAAAACCAGAATACTTGTATGCTAAAGTAATCATACCAACAAAATGGTTTAAATGTAATTTTTTCTCCACATACCTAACCAAGCTCGGATATGTAATGTTCAAAGCCAACATCACTCCACGTTGCATCATACTTATACTCATCATTAACTTTTGCCCATGAACCACCACCACGAAGATATAACCTAATTTTTTGGGTTCCATAATTCGATTTCAAAATAAAATGAAATGGACTAAATATACGAGTAAGAAGGAAGTATGAAAAAATTGACGGAGAAATACTGTCTTAGAAATTGAAAACATAAATATTTGGTATATCTTCATCCAAAATCTTTCTTCCCTTTATAGATCAAATTATTGTACAGTTACTACAGAATTTAGAATCAAAATCAATTGATTATAGAAAAAAATAATGAATATCAACAATTAAACATATCTGAATAGTTGGAATTGGACTTTTTTTTAAATCTAACTTGCGGATGGGTAACCGTAATGCAAATCTTCCCATGGCGACACATGGCAGTTCCGCAAGTTGCGATTCCGCCACTTGCGGAAGCTGCTCCTAAAATAATTTTTTTAAAACCCCTCCACAAGCTGTGGTCTACACTTCCCGAGGTAGTATTTTTTTTATTTGTAACAATAGGAAAGGAAAGACTAGGAGATGAATTGTTCCGTACAAAATGGCTATTTTGGTCATATTTTGATTATTTTCTGTTTTCTTTTTAGAATATTATTTCTAGATTTGGTAGAGTAGGCCTAAAGTGGATTTGAAGAGGACGATGATGATCTTTTTTGTCATTGTTGTTATGGTTTTTGCTGGATATAAATCACTACAACAACGTTAGGTTTATAAGACATATAAAATATCTAAACATTTTAATAAAATGTTTTATAAGACTCAAGTTTATTGGAACAAATAAAAAAATATATTATCTAAAAATGTTACGATAAATCTATAGTAACCCTTTTAGGTATTTTAACAAGTTTTTTAGGATGTTTTAAAAATATAATGTCGTATTAGTTATTTGTACGACACTATTTAAAAAAACGTTCTATAAACACAAATGTCATATAAAAAGATGGTTTTATGAGACACTTCTTAAAATTGTCTTATAAAATAGTTAATACAACACTTCATTTTAAAAGTATCATAAAAAAACTTGTTAAAACGTTTTATAAACCTATTATAACACTTTTAGATATGTAAGATGTTTTATATTGCTCTTATATATAAACTTAAGTTATACAAAATGTTCTATTAGAAACACTTTCAGGCTTGGTGAATTGTGTAAGAATGAGAATTTCCAGCAAATTAATTAACAATCCATATCTAAATCAAATGTCAAAATCTTGGAGCAGCATCCAACACAACCTATAAACCAAAAACAACACTTTTAAAAAGATCATACCAATCTGTATTCTGCCCTACCAGGCTACCATCAAACCCGATCATATCCATAATAATTCAGAACGACAAACTAACGGCCACATAATTTTATAGGTGGCCAAAATTTCAAAGTGGACCAAAAAATGCGTACGGTCCACATATATGGACATAAAATATATATAATTAACTAATAATCCTTTTGTGGCCACGGAGGTTCAAATGCGATGACTTTGAGCTATCTGCAAAATAGATGGTTGAGATTTAGTCGGCTCACATAGTGAGTTGGATATTCAGGTTAATCAATATATATATATATATATATATATATATATATAATTAAGTGATGAATCGTATTAATTTTAAAGAAGTTTGCGAGTGATGAAAAGAAGGGTATGCAAGAAATGAAGGGAATGCAAGGTATAAGTACGTACGTGTTTAAATCATCTAAACGTAATTAGATTGAATATTAATTACTGTTAAGGGTAAATTTGTGATGTAATTCGGTATCGGGTTTTGAAATTGGAAAAGGGGGGAATTTGAGAAGATTTTTGGGCGGACGCGCTTGGTCCCATTCCTACATTAAAACGAAGCATTTATGTCCACCATGTTATTGTTAAGAAGATCCAAATATAGATCTTCCGTTGAAACTGCAACCACACATAAATCAAAAAATTAATGGGTGAAAATGAAAAATCAAAGAGATCAAGTTGTGCAGATAATGATTCAAACTTTTCATTTTACAAATGTGAATGTCAGATTGGAATCGATCTACCAACAAACATCCGCAACGAGTTAATTGGTAAAAATTAATACCCACTCCTCTGAAGATATGGAATCTTGTATTGCTATATAGTCGCTGCTGGCTCTTGCACTTAAGTTGGGACGTTGGTCTTGATCAACCCTAGCATTCATTTTGTGCAGGTTTTAATTACAGCTCTAGGGAGTCGAGACGATAATGACATGTATGGTATAAAGTTCTCTTGAGGTGTAAGAAGGTAGGCCCCATGCCCAGATATTTTCTTTAAATGGTGCCTCTCTCCCATTCATTCTGGTTCAATCATCTCTCTCATCCTTGGTTAGAGAGAGAGACAGAGAGAGAGTGAGTGATAGAGGTTTCCATTAATGGAAGCAAGCTCAAGTGAGGATATGATCATTTGGTTTGAAGAAGTAGCAAAGAATGCTGGGAAGGTGCAAATGGAAATACTGAAGAAAATTCTGGAAATCAATCATGGGGTGGAGTATCTGGAGAAATGGTTTGGTGATATTGATGTGCATAAGATGGATGCAGAAGCATTGCAGTCGCTTTACACATCAATGGTGCCTTTGGCTTCCCATGCAGATTTAGAGCCTTATATTCAGAGGATTGCTGATGGAGAGACTTCTCCTTTACTCACTAAGCAACCCATCACTACTCTCTCTTTAAGGTGTACTATACATATCCATCCATCCATTTAATTTTCTCTTCTCAAGGCCAACTTCATTTATGGCTTCTCTTTTATTATTTTCTTCTGTGGATTAATCAATCCTCTGGATCAACAAGTCAAACCATGAAATGAAAGAACACATGGTGATGGTAGAGAAGAGCCCATCTCTAGATAAGGATATTAGAATATGTAATTTATAAGATTTGTTTTCCTTTTCTTTTTTCAAAAGAATTCGTATATATATATATATATATATATATATATAGGAACTGTTGTATTGAATTTACTTAAATGGTTGAAACTTGTGTGAAAGTGGGAGTTGAGTTGAGAGCATCCAACGATTCGCAAGAATCTCCCCACTATCTAGATGTGGTTTTTTGGGTCCAAAAAGTATTAAAAACAAAGTATATATGATAAATGTTTCAACTGTGCGTTTGTTGTCCAAATTTTGTTTGTTTTCTTCCCAGATTAGATTACACACACACACACACACGAAATGTTCATTTTCTTTTAGAAAGAAAGGGTATCTTAATTTTTAGTGCATCTTTGAAAAGATCGAGATGAATATATAAATGGACGGTAAGTAATTCTATAAAGTCAGAAAGTTGAATGACTACCGTTGTGCTAGCTTTATTTGAAATGACTTCTCATTGGGATGGGAATGGTAACATAAATTAAGACTGCTTTTTCGTGATGGGTTGCATATAGCTCCGGGACAACTGAAGGAAGACAAAAGTATGTTCCCTTCACCTCCCATAGCTCCAAGACCACTCTACAAATGTTCAAGTTGGCTGCAGCATACAGATCAAGGTATCTTTCTCTGTCCCTCTTTCTCTCTCGATCTCTCTTTTTCTGATGAATTTGAATTTGATGAATATATTTTAAGGGTATATCCGACAAAAGAAGGAGGCAAGATTCTTGAGTTTATCTATGGCAGCAAACAGTTCAAAACCAAGGGTGGGCTATCGGCAGGCACAGCCACTACACATTACTTTGCAAGCCAGGAGTTCAAACTCAAGCAACAGCAAACCAAGTCTTTCACTTGTAGCCCTGAGCAAGTCATCACGAGTGGCGATTACAAGCAATCCACGTATTGCCACTTCCTTCTCGGACTCTTTTACTCTCCAGATGTCGAGTTCATCACCTCCACTTTCGCCTATTGCATCGTCCAAGCACTCACCTTATTCGAAGAGTACTGGATAGACCTATGCAATGATCTTTCCCAAGGAACTTTGAGTCCCCGGATCACACTCCCGGGTATCAGGAGATCCGTTCTGGATTTGATAAAACCCAACACACATTTAGCGACGTGGGTAAGAGCGAAATGCGAGGAGTTAGAGGGCTCAGACTGGTACGGATTGATCCCAAAGTTGTGGCCAAATTGCAAGTATGTGTATTCGATAATGACTGGTTCAATGCAACCCTACATGGAGAAGCTAAAGCATTACGCGGGGGACCATTTGCCATTGGTGAGTGCGGATTACGGGTCCACGGAGAGTTGGATCGGGGTGAACATGGACCCTTCTTGTGCACCACAGAATGTGACTTTCACCGTGGTTCCGGCATTTTCTTACTTTGAGTTCATACCATTACACCGGCAGCATCATAAACCTTGCGATGCAGTTGTTGCTGGTGGTGGTGGTGACGACTACCTAGAAGACGATCCAGTGCCATTATCGAAGGTCAAGATTGGTCAACAGTACGAGATTGTCCTTACCACCTTCACAGGTAAACTTTTGAACTAGAATGATTCTACATTTATATCTTGATGACAATCTATCAATCGATTCAATAATCTGTTTAAGTTTCTAGTTAATCAAGAGATCGTCATATGACTAAGAACTGACATAGACAAGATTTGATAGTTAAAGGCTACTACACTTAGCACCGGCCACCAACACCTAGCTACCATCTGGCTGCCGGTGCCATTACTAGCCGGCACACAACAACAAAATCAGGTTTATAGAACGTCCCAATTTCTAAGCATCATAATATATCTTTTTAAAGGACTTAGTTTATAGGACCAAAAAATAAAGTGTTATGTTAAAAGACGTTGTAATAAGTTTATATGACCTTTTTTGACGTCTTAATAAGTTTTTAGGACACTTTTAATATAAAACATCAATCAACAATTTTATAGGACACTATTTGAAAAAATATCCTATAAAAAATTGAGTTTATAGAACACTTTCTCAAAAATGTCATATAAAGTTGCTAAAATTTTTGTTAAGACGCCTAAAAGCATCATTAAACTTATTACAGCGTCTTTATATATGACGCTTTATATTTTGGTTCTATAAATTAATTTATATAAAGTTATCTATTGGAACGCTTAGAGATTGAAAACATTCTATTAACCCAATTTTGTTGCGGTGTCCGCTAGAATTCAAAGTATCATAGAACATCTTTACACAAGTACAAAACTAGAAAGAGGCCAGCTTTAAGGTGATAGAGCCGACACAAACTCTTCCTTCCACGATCTTAGGGTTTTTCAACTAAGATCTTCTCCCTTTTTTTTTTATAGTTTCTTAGTTCCAAATCGATGCTAACTTAGTAACTCAAAAATCCCCGTATACATCTAACATCACAAAAAACTCTCAAACTTTTTCATAATTTTAAGAGTAAATTACATTCAGGTCCTGTGGTTTGTTTGACTAAGGTCCCTAAAAAAACATTTATTACATTCCTGGTCCTTGTGGTTTGTTTTGTTTGACTAAGGTCCCTAAAAATATCCTGTTAACTTAGTTAACCCAAGGGTACTTCAATCCTTTAGTTTACCATTATTTTTTGTGTTGTCCCATAGGGACCAAAAATGTAATTCCCTCTTAATATACAGTATATATCTTTATGTTATTTTATTCTAATAAACATAATTATATATATATATATATATATATGCCACCGGTGTCTATAATTTTTCTCTACACACACAAATCACAAACACGAAGCTCCCTGGACCCGCTTGCAACCCGGTGAAGAAAGAGGAAGAAAGAGCATCCATTCTTTGTATAAAAGTCGGACGAAGAAAAGAAACGGGATTAAACCCACCTTTGCCCGATGCGTGAAAGTGTGTGTTAGATGTGGGTTTGACGTTTGTCCGTGTTGTGTGTGTGTTCTGTGTTGATATAAATGAGGGGGATGAGGGGGAGGGAGGAGAACGATAAAGGAGGTGATGGGTCAGGGTGGGTTCTCACTGAAAATGAAGGAGGACGAAGGCTAGAGAAGGGGAGGATGGCAATTGACCGAAGATGGTGTTTTTTCTTATATACACAATCCCTTAGGAGGAACAACGTCGGAGATGGAGATGGAGATGGAGATGGAGATGGAGATGGAGATGGAGATGGAGATGGAGATGGAGGGCGGAGGTGGTGACAATGGCTTAGGTGGAGGAGGAGGCGGGTTTTCACGGAGAAAAAGCCGTCGCCGGAGATAGGGTGGGGTGGGTATCGTCGTGTCAGGGTAGGGAAACGGGGGAAAGAGGTTCAAGTCGTTGGAGAGCTCTAGAGGGTTTGCAAAGCGGGGCTGAAGATGGTTCAGTTCACCGGAAAAGAGGGGTCCATGTTATTTGAGGGTGTCACGTCGGAAGGGCCGAAGGGTAGCATCGGGTGAAGGGGATGGTCGGAAGAAGATGACCATGGGTTTGTGTGTGTAAGAGAACAAATATGTAGAGAGAGAAAGTTGAGAGAAGTCGCCGTAGGTGGTAGTGTAGGTTAGCTGGCAGTGGGTGTCAACGGAGAAGAGGATCGTATGCTCTATGTATATATATACTTATATGGCGTAATCAAATCAGAACTAATTAGTTTGTGATAATTGTGAGAACCAATATTAACCACAAATCAATAGATAAATTAGAAAATTTATAATTTTGGTAATTTTGAATTAAAATTTTAATGCAAAGATATTTTTGGTATTTTACAACTTTCCTCCCTCCTCTCTTCTCTCTCCGGCCACCGTCCTCCGGCCATCGTCCGCCCGGCACTAGGGGTGTAAATGATTCGAGTCGAGCTCGAGTATCACTATACTCGACTCGAACTCGAAACCGAATTTCCAAGCTCGAACTCGACTCGAAAACTCACGAGTAGTAAAAATCAGAGCTCGACTCGAACTCGATAACTATTTCTCAAGCTCGAACTCGAACTCGAACTCGAGCTCGAACTAAGCTCGAATCAAGCTCGAACTACAACTCGAATCAAGCTCGAACTCGAACTCAAATCAAGCTCGAACCAAACTCGCTCATTGAAATTTATAAAACTTAGGGTCTTTCTCTTATAAATTTTAAAACTTAAAAGTGTT